CAACTCCTCGACCTCCAATTCCACCCCCCACCCACCCACCAACCCACCTCCCATGCTCCACAACAGAGTGTGGGGGCACGGGACCAATGACAAAAGCAACAACACAAAAACATCTGTCAATGAAATGTTGCAGGTGAAATGAAAGATATCGCATATAAATAATTTAATGCAATGCACCTTGTAGATTTAGTTCCATGATATGGAATTAATTGACTGGCATCTGATGGCATATGTGACAATGCATGAGTTGAGAAAAGAGAAATAAATAATAAATAAAATCACTCGTAATTATTCGGACAAATTTGCATATTTAGGTCGGGGTATTTTTCTTACACAAATGTATATATTTCAATGGATTTTAAATAGTTTTCATTGAGATGCTCTTACTTTCAAGTGCACGTGGCAGCACTGATTTAAAGGTTAACTGGGGGAATCTTCCAAAGAATTATAGCAAAACTAAAGTTCAGCTTTCCTATAAGAGAACTCTTTTCAGGCGTAATCCAATGCGGCAGGCAAGATTTAAAAACATTCAGTTGGCTGCATGATGGAGGATGTGAGAGGGTAAGAAAGTGACTTTGATCAGGTTATACCATCTGCTGAAGGCACAAGTCCAGCCACTAATAGCATCAGAACCCTTTTTATCCTTTTACCTCTTTAGACCTATCGGCTTGATGGAGCCATTGCATTTTAATCAAAATAATAACAATACAAATGTAGCCATCTTGTTGCATGTGTGTGCACTTGGAATATCTTACGGGGTGTAGGGTAACCCCAGATATGTTCGTGTGTATTATTAGTAATTCAAAGTGCTATTGGTAACTACGCTTAATTAATAGGCAAGGGATCACATTTAAAACAAAAAGTTGCGTCTAAAAACGACGGGAACGTGTTGTTATTTTCATTCATTTCTCTCCCTATGTTTTTAATGCATTTTAAATGCCTTTCCTGCCGTAAGAAGTCACACAGATACCGTAATATGTTGATTATGATGTTAAGGTTAATGAGGCTGCTTGGGGAATCACGTTACAACCATTTAATTGGAGTTTGCCAGCTGCTGGGCACTAGACAAGTGAACGGAGTTTTTATTTTATTTTTAATTTACGAATTCAATAGCTACAAAGTACAGATGGCGAAACGGTTATAAGTGAGCTTCAATTTCCACGCCAAATTGCTTGAAGCAAGCCAGCCTTGCCGGGCAGAAGCCTCCAAAAAGAAATACAGTCACGTAAATAGGCGGAAAAGAAGGAGCACGCTTTTACCACACCCGAAGCCACCGATTGTCAGGAACTGATAGCAGCAGTGGCATCAAGTGGATGCATGTATCACTGTTTTACCAGCACTGTTAAGGTTTCTGACGTGCGTGCATTAACTCTACAGCCTTTGCGCATTTCAACTTTAAAATGCCGTGCTGCAGTCCAGGAAAGGACAAGAAGATCGTTACGCTTGTAAAGGCCGACTAAATGAAGACGTACTTTTCACAGGTTCTTTCTCACAATAAGTCAACGTCCTGTGCTTTAGTACAGCAGTGCGAAATTACGAAGTGTCAATTGTTGGCGTTTTAAGGGAACAAAATAATGGTCGGGAAGAGAAGCAACACAAGGCGATGTACCCTGGCGACGATTTTCCCATTGAATGTCACCGGCCGTATAAAAAAGGCTATATTACAGCACTGTATAATTACCGGTGAAACGTCCTACTCGAATTGTAAATGTTGTGGGTTTCCTCTCCTAGTAACTCATTGGCATGTTTTGTTTACGCGGCGAACCTTACTAATTGTCTGTGTCGGGTGATGGCGGGTTTAGCGACATATTTATATTTTATCTAACCCAATCACCTTCCCCTCTATTATGGATAATATTGGTCCGTGAAAGCCTAAAGCGTTAAACTTACAGTACTGTATTCTTTGGGTCTTTCGGTAAAGCCACATAGAAAAAAATATATCACGACGTTTCGATCGCAACACAAGCAATCGTCATCAGGTGAAAATATAAGCGAGAGAGCTGCTGAGGCAGAAAATATATATTTCCATATTTTTATAAATTTCAGCAGCTTTCTCGCTCGCTATATGTTTTCACCTGATGACGATTGCTTGTGTTGCGATCGAAACGTCCTGCCGTCACGAAAGCTTTAAGTCAAGATCTGCAGTACTTTAATATGAAACCTCAGTGGTACCGTGAATCCTACTTGAACTGTTAACGCATCCAGGAGGCATTAAGGACATTTGAATAGTCTCTGTGATGATTGCTCCATTATCATTGCCACTCGCGAGAGCGTGCCGTTATACAGGGCGGTGCCGTTTTGAGTGCTGGGATAATAAATGATGGTGACGTTAATCACCACTTTGCACCACTTCCACATTATCTTCCACTGATACTGCCTATGCGCCAGAGCTGCCCTCGTAAAAGGGCACCGCATTTGTCAAGGGATGGAGTACCGGGACTTTCTGGCCTACACAGTACGTAATTCTATCACCGTAATCTATCCTGGAATATTAGGAAGCCAACGGAGCTATGCACCTTGAAATCTAGATCGAAAACTACTTTATTTCGAAGTGCACTATATAAAACGTGGTTGCTGAGCACAGCACCGAAGTGTTTGGCAGTCGGCAACAAACAGCACGACTTTGAGGTGTTAACAGATGATACGTTGCTGCAATTGAGCAATGTTATAATCGCTTAGGAAAAAGAGCCGCTGGGAAGGGCGTTCCACAGTTGTTGAGCAGTGTGGGGAAAAAGCAGAACGTGCCTTGACCCGCAAGGTAGCGCTTGAACACATTATGGATGAGATAGAACAGCTATTCTGTTCCAGTCCTCAGCATTGGTGAAGGAATCGATGAGCGAAGTCCGATCTAATATGGAAGCCCACCGGAGCTATGCACTTTTTAATCGGGATTGAAAACTAATTTCTTTCTAAGTACTTTTAGTGTTCAGTTTGTTGTCTTGACCTCGCAACTCCGATTAGCGCAGCTGGCCACGCGCGGTGCGAAAGACGTTCAACTTACACGGACGAAGGGACTCCGACTGATGCTCCTGCTGTTGTGGAGTGACTCATGCAGCCAGCTATGGCTGCAGGGTTTTGGTAGTACATGTTGTTTGTCGTTTATTGTGAAAATTCCGTCACAGTTCCTATTATCACTGTTTCATTGCTTTATTTTGGTGATTTCGAAAAGTTTACTGGTTTGGCCACGTTTGTTTGTTGTAGTACGGATTAAGACTGATGGCCTTAATCTAAGTTGTCTTGTGGTTGTTGTTGTTGTTTGACTTGCATCCCACTAGGATTTTTGCACACAGCGTTGGTGTACGGTGTTTTTTCTGCAATATTTTGCTGTCTTTTCTTGTCTGTTTGCACTTAGTCACATATTCACTTTAAGATGTTTTCTTGTTCATATTTTTTTTGCGGTTGCACCCGATTCAAGAGCCGAATGGCTCACAGGGTTATACCAAAGAAATTAACTTGAACTTGAACATGCAAGCAGGCGACTGAGTCCCATTCAGCGAGTGACTGGGATTGACCAGTGCCTGCTGGGTCGTAAAACTGCAGTCGCTATTCTTAGTTATTTCGCAACCTCTTTTTTGAGAGCTGGTGGCTGTCAACTTGGTTTTGTGTAAACTATGCGCAAGCATGATGATGCCATCCTGACATACAGCAACAGATACATGATGGGAGTCTTGGTTACGTCCCCTGTACATGCTGCCACCAATGTGGGAAGTCTGGCAGCGATTGTACTCAATGCTCAGTTGTTTTCCCACGTGGCTTCACGTTAGGTGATAATAACAGTGCGGACCACAGAGCAGTGGGCTCACAGCTCCAATATTGGAGAAACTACCAGCTAACCACCCCAAGGCTTTACGGGTTTCTGGTGACGCGCGAAGGTGGAATGAGGGTCTGAGTCGAGTGGTTATGGTTATTGACTTCACCAGTGCTCTGTCCGGCATGGGTGCCCATGGGTACACGTCTGCTTAGAGACACCCACTATTTAGAAGGCGTTGATGCGTTCGGCATTCATGCATGAAATCATTGATCCATTCATCTGCCCACGCTTGTGTGCATCATTCAACGATTGATTGATTCATTCATTAATTAATGCATTAATGAATGCATTAATTAATGCATTAATGAATGCATTAATTAATGCATTAATTAATGCATTCAGTCATGGTTTTATGTACAGCATTCATCCGCCCATTACTCCAATCATGTATCAGTTCATAAACTAAACTATTTTTTTTTAATTTACCAGGTAAGGCCTACTGAGCCATATAGGTATTTTTCAGAAGCGACCTGGCCACAATTGATAGCTCAACAAAGCGCCTCATCGCGTGGAAATGCATAGCTGCCAAATTCTCCAAGCGAGCGCGATTCTAAATGTGTAGGCGAAAACCCGGAGGACCCGGAGAAAAAAAATCCACGCGACCACGGGGAGAGAGACGCGCAAACTCCGAATACACAGCAAGGGTCGGACCCGCGTCTTCTTGTCCACCAGGCGAGGTGGTCAACGTATCGCCACCGTGGGTGCAGCCCTTGCCGTGGGACACGTGCGCGCGTTACGGAAACAATTTGACACAAGCACGACGCTCGACTCGCCTCCACCGCAAAGGGTCGCCGTGCGTCTCTAATCCTACGCCAGAGGTCGCAACCGGGTACCCGATACCCGTACCTTACCCGATACCCGGCTACCCGTACCCGGCCAGGTACGGGTATGGGTACCTGTTTGCGACCCTGGTGCGGCCAGGTACCGGTACGGGTAGGCCGTGAGTCACTGGTGAGTAACCGTTTGTCACTCATTTCGGGTAGGGTACGGGTAGGGAACGGGTACCCGTACCCGGTCGGGTACGGGTACGGGTACCCATTTGCGATCCTGGTGTGGCCGGGTACGGGTACGGGTAAGGAATCAAAACCCATTTGCGACCTCTGTGACCTACGCATGACCGTTGGCAACCAGTCCACACGGTGAGGCTGCGCCTCCGTTGATGATCAGTGGTCACCAGCACTCGGGCGGTGCCATAGCTGAGCAGGAGCATTTTAGACGCTGTTTTTTTTGCGGAAGTTCGCTGTTCAAATCCCACAGGCCACTCAGTGTCAGTACTGCGGGCGTATGGACCGTGCATTGACGTGCTGGCTTCTTCACAGTGGACGGTAAATATCCCCTGGTGTCATTCGAAACGAGCAGACCATTGTGTGCTGGTTGTCATTGTTCAAATGTGGAAAATTCTCCGCAAATGATTAAATCGGGAATATTCATATTTACTGTTATTGCTTTGCTGTTCAAATAGTGCAACTCTTGATATGTGATTGTTTTTTTCATACAAGCGTATGCGAATTAACGTAACGCGCTTCACCAAACAGGTCCAGTGTCAAAAGGTAAAGATGACGGTGCAGCCCTGCAATCGCTTGGTTACGCCATTGCTGGCAGATGGGCCTCCACTGGAGGGAGCTCCAGAGATTCCCTCTGGATACTCTCAGCGACTCAACAACGACGGCCACACCTCCGCACACGAGGTTGGAGTTACCCAAACAGTTAGTCTACCACATGCACGTCCTGCCGATTAACTAGACGTGGTGAATCCATTAATACTGCTCGACGGATAGGGGCGGGTGGATTTAAGAAAATGTCACCATCGTTTCAACTGGCACACTCGGAGATCAAGCCGGCACTTGCACGGCGTCCTAACCGATACACAACGGTAGGAAGCATCCTTTGGCCGAAAGTTAAAATGTGGTGGAAAGATGCGTTCTCGAAACGTCTTGATTGCACCATGCACATTTGTGTGTGTGTGTAGACAATGGATGATTAATTATCCGTGTCAGTGTAGTTCCGTTCAAAAAAAACCAAAATCGTTCCAGTCTCACAGAGCACGCAGTACGCACCACTGCTGGCCAAAGGGAATACAATGCGGGCTTGTTGTTGTTGTTGTCAAATTTGTATGAGAATGTTACAAGGCCTCGATTGTCAGCAAAATTTATCATCGCAATGCTCATTGTGCATGCGTGTGTGTGTACGTATGTATATGCATATATGTGTGTGTGTACGTATGTATATGCATGTGCATGCGTGTGTGTGTACGTATGTATATGCATGTGCACATGTGTGTGTGTGTACGTATGTATATGCATGTGCATATATGTGTGTGTACGTATGTATATGCATGTGCATGTGTGTGTGTGTGTACGTATGTATATGCATATGTGTGGGTGTGTTTACATATAATATCCTCCTGTCCACGAAGCTTAAATAAAATCTGGTATTGGCTGAAAAATGGATTCCCAATGAGCTATGGGAGGAGGGGGGGGGTGGGACTGGCTTGTGTAAAAGGTATTACTGGTGGCACGAGCCAACGACGGGTCATACAAGTATAATTTTCCTTGGCAGCCTACAGTCAACACGATTATATCTGTTAAGGAATGAGAATAGAAATTAGCATAATAATTACATTCCATTGGCAGCCACCAAACAGGGATTTTTATGTCACTGGGAGGTGTACTTGGCTTTGTCACGTGCACAGCCATCTCCGCTCTTATTTGCCTTATGGGGATATTGAGGCATTCAAAAACTGGGTTTTCAAAATCTCAATGCCAATTATGATAAAGGTCACCTCTCTGAGATTTTAGAAAGCAAAAAGTCATGTTTGTTACCGTTAATGAGAGGCAGTTTATTTCTAATCCAGTCCTAGAAAGAAAATACACGTTTTAAATCATGTCTGGTGTGTATTTTATGAACTTCAAAATGTGACAACCACTGAGCACCACTAATGGAATGCATGAAGACTTGTGAATACACATTCGTTATTATATGCCCATAATCACGGAAAATGTCAGTTGATTGCTATTTATCTGGCATATTTATAAAAATAGGGTTGTGTGTCTTAACCATGAACCATACTTTGCGGTGTTGCTACGAGTAATTTTCACCATAATTGAATGTAACATTGCAGACAATGTTGCATATCGTGCTGTCACTCATTCCTATTTGTGGATTTTCTCAGTTACTCTCGACAAACTCACATTTTTCCAATGCGTCGTAACACAATATTACAATCCTCAATGCGGTCTACCACATTTTTCTTCCTCCTTATGGTTTTCTGAGCAACATGACCTTGGAGATCATCCAGCCTGGCATTTTGGAGACATTGCCAACCCAAAGGAGTTGTTATTGCAGAATTATTACACTAAGTGGTTTCAGCATTGATTTATCACAGAGCCCAGTGTCTCATTCATGATATTCACATCAAACCTGCAGGAAGCCTTTAAACAATAAACCCCCAAAGAAATCAGACCGTTTGCAGGAAATGTAAGTTTTGTTCATTGTTACGTTTAACGGTGTTAATTACTCAGGTATTGGCTTATTTTCTATTGACACATTCCGAAAAATATTATGAACATATCGTTCACACTCACCTATTAATTGTTATATTGACTATTACCTTAAATACTGTTGATGAGATTCAAGGTCACACATTCATCTTATGCTGTCCCCTTCCTGTTTCATGAGGATTATCATGAATTACTCGACCAGAGGAGTTCACGGATTGGACTATGTCCAGATCATTCAAGGATTTGTGAGCTCCTCACAACATCCAGCCTGGTTAAAGCCAGGATGGATCGTAGGCAGGCCATCCTGAATGTTTCTAACCGGTGCAGATGTTCCTTTAGTGGGGTCCATGTTTAGCAAGTATAGAGAGGGGAGGGCGTGACTGTGGCCGAGAAGACCCAAAGCTTCGTGTGGATTGACGGACCAGGTAGCTTCCACACACCGTTACGCAGCCGATGAACAGATAATGCCGCTCGACTGATTCGGAGTGAGACCTCTGCTGTCAAACCGGAGCTAATCATAAAGCACACTGGATCACAAACATGTTCTCTGACAACAAATATGGAACAAAAGCTGAACACTATTCAAAGAAGTATAGAGGATGCATGCTGGGAAATTATACTGCATGTCAAAAAGAGGATACAATGGGTTAGGGAACACGCGTAAAGCGGTCACCATTGACTCTAAAGAAAGGGAAGTGGGCTTGGGCAGTCCACATCACTCGCACAGATCATGGCTGATGGACGAGTCTGGTGATGGAAAGACAGCCAAAGCGGAAGAAAGCACCCAAGAGGACGGCCGATCTGGAAATAGAGCGACGAGAATGATGTTCATGTGCAGGAGAGAGATTGCTGGACCCATGAGTTAGTATATGGGCCATTATGCTGGCACATAGGGCTTACTGTTCTCTCTAATCACGTCACAGGATCATTAAAGTCCACTGTGAAGAATACAATGCATATTTACGTGGTTAACTGCATCCACAATATTAGCCAGGGCGGCCGCTAGGCTCGAACCGAGAAACTCTGCAGGAAACAGGAAATTCAGGAAACGCTCTACGCGCTCAGTGCTTGCGACCGCATGCGCGGCCACACTTGTTGGGGTGTGCGTAGTTCTTGCTCAAAGCGTGTGTCCTGAGGTTGCTTCCGGCTCTCTGCATGCCCGCTGTGATGTGTTAATTCAATTCTTATCCCCTTGCAATTTTCACGTTGACAAATGTTCTCATTTTTAATATCGCATACATTTCATCGCAACACTGCGCGGTGACACAATCATTGTGGTGTCGGGTGTTTGCGCAGAAACTAACATCAATCATCATCAAAATCCATTTCTACTCCACCGTTGGATGAAGGGTTTTACTTGCTGCTGATTACTGGCCTGTTGTTTGTGCAGCAGCAATCCATCATACACACATGCCGTGATATCATCAGTATGTGTCCGATTTGGTCATACCTTATAGCATGTTTTTTTTTTCTCGTAATGGTCACTCTTCAAAAAGATGCAACATTACCATTACATTTGGTATACAATTCGAACATATTTATGGCCACGTCATGATCATTGCAGCTTCCCACATTTTATTGTGTACGCTGTGTGAATGAATGTTGAACTAAAACAACGATTATGAATTTAAAAGTGCACATGTAAGCTTGGTGGTGATGGGCATGGGGCAGTTGTTCTTGTGACAGCTTGACAGGACATCAAACACTCATGGCAATGAGCCTCATACTGAGCACCCCGTGAGATGACATGGCACGGTCATAAATAGATTAAAACTCTGCCATGATACATCAAAGTCAAAAGATATCTTGGCTCCGGATAGTGAGAGGTCCATCTGCTGCATTTTGCTCTGTGAAGGAGGTCTTTAGCGTCACAACATATTTGTCTGATTCCTGCCGTGCTGGTAAAAAAGAACAAAAAGTGAATCATTCAATTAGGCACGTCCACATTTGCACTCGCTCCGCAGGTCGACAAAATGTGCAGCGAAGTTGGATGCCTGTGGTTCCAAATGATTACTCTTTAAATTGACAAAGGTGATGCTGCAGGGGGTATGGTGTCCTCAGATTACTCAGATTGTAAATGTTTTGGATCTGCTGTATTCGTGACGAATTGGCATGTTTTGTTTACGTGACAAACCTTACTAACTTCTTGGTTCTTTTGGTAAAGTCACGTAGAAGGGAAGTAATAAAATAATAAAAATAAAATATAATAAAATAAAATAATTCTCACGACGTTTCGGCTACAACGCAAGCAGCCGTCTTCAGGTGAAGAATGAGACACTACCAAGCTAGGAGCTTATATATACGCTGCGTTGGAGGTGCACCTGAAGACGGCTGCTTGCGTTGTAGCCGAAACGTCGTGAGAATTATTTTATTTTATTATGTTTTATTTTTATTATTTTATTACTTCCCTTTCTACGTGACTATACCGAAAGAACCAAGAAGATGGATCCCTGCAGTCACGAAAGCTTTAAATCGAAATTTAAACCTTACTAATTGGCTGTGTCGGGTGGTGGCGGGTTTAACGACACATTTATATTTACGCGATCTAACCCAAACAACCCTGTATTGTGGAGGGGCATAGTGGTTGGCACACTCGACTTGCTATACAGAGCTCGCCGGTTTGATTCGATCGCGGCTATTGAAACAATGGCAGTTCTTAAAAGCTTCCGCATCTGTCCACCGAGTCATATGAATAGGGTACATCACAGTTATTTGCTCTGCTGGGTCACGTGTGGTGATATCAAGTGTGGATACTCTTACTCCTTGCAAGCTGTCTGGCCAGCGTGGACGAAGAGGCCAACCCCCTCGAGAGAGAGGCATTTTTAGTGGAGGCCCTCCTGCTAGCAGTGGCATGGTTGAGTAATTTCATGGTTGCACCTTCACACTAGATTCCAAAGAACACAGGATGAGATGTTACTATCCTTTGTGCAAGCACTTCCAAGAGTTCATGAACAGTGAGCCTGGTGAAATTTGGGGAGCGCATCGTCAGTAGTGACCCTTTGGTTCCTAGGGTGTTTCGGCCTTTCATACTATACACCCTCCCCAAATGCGGCCAGCGACAGGGTGATCAATCCTACGCTTGCGTCCCATTCCCAATTGGTCATAGGAGTTGCCTTGTTGTTGGTAGCCAACATCCCATGGGACTATGCATGGCAGGGGCGTCCTCCTCCCTGAGTCAAGCATTGTTGACTGCATACCTCCTGGCCCTCTCACTTTGGGGCCCAGCTGGGGTCTTTCCTCTTCATCCAGAGCCACTGACTGCTGCCTTCTGCCGCCTCCGATACAGCTTTGATTGCCGAACGCTGGCTCTGGCCCTTAATTCCCAGGTCTCTAAGCAGTCTGGTTGTAGATGTTGCCACAAAACCTCTGCAGCCGACCTCCACTGGTCGGACTTCTGTGTTCCAGCCATGATGCCGTGCTTCGGCAGCTAGATCGGCATAGCGCAGATGTTTTCGCTCATAAGCCTCATCTACTGAGTCCTCCCAGGGTACTGTGAGCTCAATGATGAAGACCTTCTTGAGCGAACGGGACCAGAGCACCACGTCAGGTCTTAGGGTGGTGGTTGCGATCTCCGGAGGAAACACAAGTTGCCGGCCAATGTCAGCTAGCATTTTCCTTATAGAGTTTCGATCAGGAGGTCGACAATAAAAATAACAAGAAGGCCAGTTTTTTTATTCGGTAAAATAAAACCTCAATTTGGTAAGAGCCTGTGGTCTTTAATAAATAACATCATTAAGCAGTACTTAAAGAGCTGCATGTGCCTCTTGAGCCGCAGGTTGGCGACCCCGGGTTTAGATGGCAACATGGGTGGCTTGCATTTCAAACCTGAGCAAACCCCACGATACAATGATGTCTACAAAAATAGAGAAATATCAAGTATATATTTTTATTGCCATTATCAATGCCGCACAACTTTGTGATGCTACGGAAGCTTTGGGCCAATACTTTAAATCGTGCATAAAAATTACTCATTTATTCTTCCTGTGCACCGCATCCTATCCAATGTATTCATACATTTTTCGTACAGAAACCTCTCTGTCAGAGGTGTTCCCCCGTGGTTTTGATGTCAGAGCGCTGAGCTGATACCACTGAGATGCTGGATCTGAATTTTGGGCAGTCGACCTGCGATTAAACCTGGATATCAAGTCTAGAGATTTTTCGGTCTCAGCCCAGTGATCGATTAATATAGAAAGAAAATGTTAGTTCACTTGATTTGAAATGCAGCTACGGGAACATAGCTTTTGCTGTTCGAGAATTTGTTTCATTTATTGGCATAGTCTGTGGGAAAGTGTGTCACCTGCAGTGTAATGGGGATATAAAGTCAACTGGAAGGATCCTTTTAGGAACAGCCACGTGATGTAGAAAATATGTATGAATGTATGTTGAACTTACTTCGCACCGTGCGAGAGCCAACCATGCTAATCAGAGGGGCATAATGATGCATTGCTCAGTGTCATTTCCAAGCACATTTTTCATCTCATGACATGATGTCGATAGCACAAAATGGAATACATTGGGAAAAACCAAAAAAATAGCAGAAACATTAATAAGAAAAAAACATAAATTTATCTGTAAAATTTTTAATCCATTTTAATTGACCATTATTTATTTGCTGGTCACTTGGGATTTGCAGACTGTTCGGACAGCCATTAGCCATCCGTTTTGTTGCCTTGCCCAAACTTACGCACTTTGAAACTCATATACTTTATCTACGTTACTTATTTATGTTTAGTGATTTGCTTACCGTTCCCATAATTTGCATTTGTATCGTTTTTTTGTATTGCTTGCTGTAAATTTCTGGACATATGTGAAAAAAGAGCTTCATAGCTCATCGGATTTCTGCAGGATAAATCATTAATGCCGACGTGGGTGCCTGCACCCACCAGAGGCTGGCTCTCAGATTCTGCACTTTTTATTCAAATATTGTTTTTCTCATTAATCGTATTCTAAAATTTTTAGGTCCATTTAAATATTTTTTCTCATTAATCGTATTCTCAAAATTTTAGGTCCATTTAAATATTTTTTTGTTTCCGTTTTCTTAGTTTGGGATTTAGATTTGTAAAATGTGTTAACTTTCATAGTTCATGAACTAAAATTAAATAAAGTTGATATCCTTGGAATATAACACATTTTTATCTTTTTTGACGTATGGTTCCATCAGTAAAACATTGCAGTTCTGTGTATTCTCTATGTCAACATTAGTAGGTTTTTATAAGTTAAAGGTTCCATCACATGATGTCAATTTTGGCATTTGAAGAATATGACCCCACGGAGGTGCTGAAACACTTCCCGTTACATCATACATTCACATCAATTTGAAAAACATTGTTATCGTGTCATTCAACTTTCACATATCTAGGCCCGATTTTGAATATGTTAGAATAAACCGAAAATAAGGAACACACCCCTTCTGTATATCATGTTAATTAACCAACATTGCATAATTATTCATTTCTATGTGTGTTAACGTCCTAACATGAATGAACCCATTATGGTCAGTTCGCTACAAGTGTGTTCTTACATTGTGTTCCATTGGCTTAGCCTCTTGCCCATTGTGACAAAATCCATTGGCACATCACCGCTGCTCAGCTGCTGTGGCTTTGTTCGTGCACAGCTGTCGAGTTAGAGCACCTTTAGATATCTTGGTAGGTTAAACTATCACAGATATGACGCCTGAGGAAAATAGTTACGGTAATAATATTGCCGTGCGGTGGAAATAAGCCGGGGATAAGTGCATCGTGAAAATGTCTCGCCGCGTATTCTCTTGGTTGAACAACGCGTGCGGCATATGCCACGGCAACAAATAAAATGCATTTCAACTCTAAGCCCACATTCCGAGGGGTCCGCTTGTTAGTGCAGTGTGAAAAAGACAACTCTGCTTCAACTGACGCCCCAAGAACACCTCGGCAAGTGCATGCAATACGCATCGGGGGTCTTTGAAAGAAAAGGCAATAAAAACGGGAGGGCACAAGTCATCCTCACGAGTGCCCCCCCCCCTCCTGCTTCGTTTGTTCGAGACTCATTCATAATTAAGTCGGGTCTATTATAATCGAACCCATTTTTTTTTTTAAATCCACATGTCCGACGCACGGTCCATTCCAGCGATACGCTACGCTGTGTCCTGCGCTACAGATCGGGATTTTACTGGGTCTGCTCTGAACTTTGTTTGAATAAGTTAAAATACAGGTAGTCCCCGACATACGATGGAGATGCGTTACAACGACCCCATAGGTCGAAAATGGCCTCCAAGCCTACCCAGGTGATAATTTAGCAAAACAGAGTAATTTACAGTACCGTACTGTATAAACTATATACTGTATGTATTTATTAATTAATTACAATACTGAATTGCACGGTAAAATGTAAAGTAAAAAAAACAAGGTAAAGTCTGAGCCTACCTATATGAACTGCAATTTAATAGAAAGTTTTTCAGTAAACAATCCTATCTGCTATAAAAAAAAAAGTACAGTATCGTACCTCGTAAGCTGCTGCGTTTGCGTGCCGCGCGAAATATAAAATATTTAACAATTTTGTCGTATCGCTATCGCCATCGTAAGATCGAAATATCGTAAGTCGGAACATCGTAAGTCGGAACATCGTAAGTCGGGGACTACCTGTAGAGCACTGCCCTACGCATTAGCGTTGGCGCAGGGGGAGTGTGACGTCACTGCGCGAGAACCCCGATCATGCGGTCGACGTCATCACGCAGATGTGGCGCAGTGACGTCACCACCGTAAGCCAGCCAGCCAGCCGGGCGCCCAGCAAGCAAAGCTTTTAAAAAAATTAACCCGTAAAAACAAAGTTTTTCACTATAAATCCTTTATATGCGTGGCATCGGGGCGGCTAGAGTCCTCTCGTCCTCTGGCTTGAGATGGCTGCCACCTATGGGTCAGATGAT